TAAAGGGTTAATTAAATTAAATCTTTCTTAGGCATGATGTGTGTGAGCATACAGTGGGTATGTGGACCTTGTTAGTGATGTATCAGTGAGACCTATTTATAGAATTTCATGTGTGAAAAAATATAGTGGGTCGATTTTGAAATTACTTAAAAACTTGGGGGGAGGCAAGTATAATTAACTCATTAATATGGGTCACCTTTACATGTGTTTAACATATGAAAAAGGGTGAGTCATGGGTTGCTAAGTGGCTGTGTGTGTGTGTTTTAAAGTGTAGAAGTGTGTGTGTTTATAATTCAAGTGTAAAAGTGTGTGCGTTTAAAAGATAAAACAGTGTGTGTGTGTTCTTGCTTGTTGGAAACCGACAGTGAGGGAGAGCAAAAAAGAAGAAAGGAAATATATGTGTGAGTGTGTCCTTTGAACCGAGAGCAAGGAGGAAGAGCGGGAGAGAGAAGGTCAAGATTGGTGGGTGTTTTAGTTCCAGCCGAGAGCACGAAGAGAAATGTATGTATGATTAATATTAGTATGTATGTATATGTGGAGGCTGTTTTATTTTAAATTAGTGGTTGTTTTAATTTAATTTTATGGACTGTTTTAGTTAATTTTATAGACTGTTTTAGTTTAATTTCAAAATATATTTTTGTGAGTTTAAATTAAGTGTATTAAACTTTTTGTGAGTTTAAATTAAGTGTATTAAACATAAATTAGTGGACTGTTGTATTTTAATTTCACAACAGGTTTTTATGAGTTTCATTAAGTGCATGAAACATAATTAACGGGCTACTAAATAAAGGTTCCAAATGGATATTAAACTGAAGGTGAGAAAAATGTGGAAAATGATCATTTGAGATGTTTGGTAGGTTTTTTGAGTGGTTAAGACGAAACCAAAATTTATGAGTGTGAAATGGGGAATCTAAGGGTGCAAATAGGGGGCCCTTTTGCTTGAATTAGTGAATGTGTGAGTTTAGGTAGGATTGTTTTAGAAGAAATGTACGATAGAAAATGGGAATGGTTGTCGACGATGTCGAAACCCTAATTTTTAAATGTTATTATCACATGTGTGAATTTTAATTCAAATAATCCAAAATTTTGCATGCAACATTTTTAAATGATGTTTGATGTGAAAATGTAACTTTCGAATGCAAATGGAAATGATATACAATGCGAAATATATGAAATGCCGAATGTGTAGTTTTTAGGATTCAGGGTCAAAACGTGTAAAAAATGGGCCCCAGTCTATGTGTTTGACCTACTTAATCCTAATTGTGATTAATGTGAGTGATTTTAAAAATTTGAGGAGAAAATGTGATCCCTAGAATAAAAGTGCTAATGTGTGAGTGGATAGTGTGGTAACCAGAGTTACCGGGGCACTTTGGGGTGCATCATTTTGTATGTATTAGTACATGATTAACTATTAAATGTGATAAACATATTTATATTGTAATTACAAATGTATAAGGTGGAACGAGTGAAACAGTCGGTATTGGAACAGATACGGTAACACCGCAAGGACCCACCGATAGGATCGAAGAGCAGTATATCTGTACATTTGAGGTGTTGTATATCTTTATATGTTTTAGAAATGCTATTATAAGATGATAGTAAATGATAGAATTTAATAGCATTTCTCCAGTATTATGTGCTATATTCTTATGTGATTGAATGATACTTTGTACTGTGTATGATATATTGTGGAATGTAGCGCATTATTTGAGACAAGAGCGTCGATGTCTGATCACTGGGCGTGCAGTGATGTGCTAGCACTATGGTGCTCCTAAGAGATTCGGGAGAGACGAACCTATGTGAGATCCATTACCCGATAGTATGATGGTGATATGACTTGTGAATTCTTTGAAATTGGATTGATGTTGTTGTTTGATATGTGTATCTATGTAGTATCTACCTATTTTTTGTGTATTATTATCATTTTTATTTCATATACAACATGTATACTCATTGAGCACATAGTTTAACTCACACCCCTATAGGTTCTTTTTTTCAGGTACTATAGAGGAAAGTGCAGACCAGTCCACTGTCCAGTCGATTGAGTCTTGTACAACATTAGTATGATATCACTCAGGTTGAGTGCTTGTATAACTATTTGCTGGGCTGTAATTTATATTAGGTGAGAGATTATTATGATAGGTTAATAATGGTAACAAACTCAACAAGCATACTCTAGGAGGTATGCTATGTGAGTGTGAGATTGTGTATATGTACACAAACTAGAAAAAATGGTATATGTGTTATATATGGTACCTGTTATAAAACAGGTATTACCATCATGCCTATTAATGTTTTATTAATCTAGATTTTATATACGTAAACATGTGTATCAAAATTCTAGTCGCGTCTCATCCTTGAAAGACCGGGATGAGATGTGACAGTACACCATGCATATCATGTGTTTATTGCATACATTGGAATTGTTATATATGTATAAATGTTACTATATTCTAATTATCGTTTGCATATACTGTATTATCTTTCAAAATATTGATAATGTTTGAAAAAAATTATCTTATTGAGCTGTGAAGCTCACTTCTATATATATTTTTCACAGATGGATCGCAAGGTTTGGAATGTCAACGAATAATATCAGTGCATACCTTGATTTTCCTCGTCTGTAGTTGTCCTTGAGGGACGTTAGGATTTTGTACTAAACTTGTGTTTTGTAACCTTAACCTTTTGAGATATGTTACGTAGGCTTTAGATATGTAAACTTCATGTAGGGATGACCAGGTTTTTGTTATACAGAATAGTGGTCTACTATACTATTGTTTGTAGTTTTATTCTAATTTCTGTTGCCCTGACCATCTTATTGTTGCCTATCGTTTTTTATAGGTTACAAGTGACTTAATTTATAAAATTCTCCAGAAAGTTATAAAATATTTTCCCTAAATTTGTTAATTTAATCAGTTTTCATAAATGACATTTTATCTGGAAAATTCAAAGTATTCCTAAATATGTTTATTATGATTTTAAACACACGTCTCTTCGTATTATGAAAAACGAGGCGTGACACTAGTTGAGGTCGGGGTCAAGGACCAGATCCGAGTCTAGGTTTGGGTCTGAGTATGAGTTCGGGTTCGAGATCCAAGTTTGGGTTTGGAGTCGGGTGTATGTGTGTGTGTGCGCATTATAGTGTATTAGCAAGTGTATATTTTGATATATTATTGTACCTATTTTAGTATGTCATTAAAATAATCTTTAGCTAAAATTCTATAAGTGATTTTTAGCCATTGGATTAGTAGTAAAAAAAAAAATTCTAAAACAATCTCACATGTGAAAAGTATTTTTTTTTAATATTTTTGGGATTTAAAATATATTATACTTAATTATATAAATTTAAAAAAAACAAAAAGTTTTGAATAGGTAGGATCCGATCCAAAGGCAAGAAATGAGCCTAACATTAGGGGTGCACATCGGACAGATTGGGCGGGTTAGACAGTCTATCATTGTCCAACCCAAACTATATAATCTNGCCATGCATATCATGTGTTTATTGCATACATTGGAATTGTTATATATGTATAAATGTTACTATATTCTAATTATCGTTTGCATATACTGTATTATCTTTCAAAATATTGATAATGTTTGAAAAAAATTATCTTATTGAGCTGTGAAGCTCACTTCTATATATATTTTTCAGAGATGGATCGCAAGGTTTGGAATGTCAACGAATAATATCAGTGCATACCTTGATTTTCCTCGTCTGTAGTTGTCCTTGAGTGACGTTAGGATTTTGTACTAAACTTGTGTTTTGTAACCTTAACCTTTTGAGATATGTAACGTAGGCTTTAGATATGTAAACTTAATGTAGGGATGACCAGGTTTTTGTTATACAGAATAGTGGTCTACTATACTATTGTTTGTAGTTTTATTCTAATTTCTGTTGCCCTGACCATCTTATTGTTGCCTATCGTTTTTTATAGGTTACAAGTGACTTAATTTATAAAATTCTCCAGAAAGTTATAAAATATTTTCCCTAAATTTGTTAATTTAATCAGTTTTCATAAATGACATTTTATCTGGAAAATTCAAAGTATTCCTAAATATGTTTATTATGATTTTAAACACACGTCTCTTCGTATTATGAAAAACGAGGCGTGACACTAGTTGAGGTCGGGGTCAAGGACCAGATCCGAGTCTAGGTTTGGGTCTGAGTATGAGTTCGGGTTCGAGATCCAAGTTTGGGTTTGGAGTCGGGTGTATGTGTGTGTGTGCGCATTATAGTGTATTAGCAAGTGTATATTTTGATATATTATTGTACCTATTTTAGTATGTCATTAAAATAATCTTTAGCTAAAATTCTATAAGTGATTTTTAGCCATTGGATTAGTAGTAAAAAAAAAAATTCTAAAACAATCTCACATGTGAAAAGTATTTTTTTTTAATATTTTTGGGATTTAAAATATATTATACTTAATTATATAAATTTAAAAAAAACAAAAAAATTTGAATAGGTAGGATCCGATCCAAAGGCAAGAAATGAGCCTAACATTAGGGGTGCACATCGGACAGATTGGGCGGGTTAGACAATCTATCATTGTTCAACCCTAACTATATAATCTTTAATTTTAATCTTAACCCTAACCCTAACCCTACCCTACTTGGGGTTGAGGAATTCAACTCGAACACTGCCTGAGTTTATATCGGGCGAGTTCAGGTTGAATTCAAATTAATAATTTTGGGTTAATTTCGGGTAGAGCCTAAAATAGATTTGTTATTTTAAATTTAATATATATATTACATAATATTCACATAAATTAACGACCAATAACTTCGATCAAATTTTTAAATATTAAAAATTTTTACCCAAATTTTAATTTTTTCGGATGGAACTCGGGTTAAATTCGATTGCCCAACCCAAGTTCCACCCCTGCCTAACATTCATTTCAACTCCTAACTGGATAAAGTGATAAACCCCTTCTGTGTGCACTCTACTCTGTCTCCTGCAAAACCCATTTTCACTTCTTTCTTACACAAACTGCACAGATATGGCCGCAATCTCATCTTTATTCTCTCCTAATTTACTCCACTACCCAACAATCCAACAATCACCGCTCTCAAAACCCTCTTTCCAAATCCTTAAACCCCAAATTCAGCTTAAACTCCGATTTTCACCTCTGTTTACAAACCCTAAAGAACAAAGAAGACTCTCTGCTGTTGCAGAGGAAACACTGGTATCTACGCAAGACCAGGCCGCCGCGAGGCGATTGTATGTAGGAAATATTCCGAGGAACGTCAACAACGATGAGCTCAGGCGGATTGTGGAAGAGCACGGTGAGGTAGAGAAGGCTGAGGTAAGTGATGTGAGGTTTTTTAGCTTTCCGCTTTGTGTTTGATTCATGTTTTTAGTGGTTTGAGTAGATCAATGAAGGTTTAGTAGTTCAAATACTGTTGAATTTGTAACTTCAATAGGCAAATCTACCTACTATTATAGTTAGAAAGTTGAATTATCAACTTATAAAAGCACAATAATGGTCAAAGTTATTTTAATTTTCATCCGTCTTAATCCAATCATACAAAATTCATCCCAATTTTTTCAATGTTAACAACTCAACCAACATGGTGCCCAATGATAAATAATTTCATTGATTCACATCTACTTCTATCTTCTCTCTCTTTTACATCTGTCTTATTTTTCACTCTGATCATTTTCATATTAAATTGTGTGATTTAATAAAAGAGAAAGAAAAATAAGTTGCTATTTAAAACATCAATATTCCACGATTAATATTCGATTTAATACTGCAGAATGTCTGTCTTATTTTTCACTCTGATCATTTTGATATTAAATTGCATGATTTGAGAAAAGAGAAAGAAAAATAAGTTGTTATTTAAAACATCAATATCCCATGATTAATATTCAATTTTTAATGCTGCAGAATCAGGCACAGAGTTATTGTTAGTGCCTCAATTTATCATGATGGAAATTAAATTTCTGAATCCATCTGTAATTTGAAACATGAAGGCTTGATAGGACTTGGTTGGAACAAGACATTCTTGTTTATTTCTTTGCTGGTGAACTGTGCTTATATAAATCATTAGGCTGCTCAATCTTGTTGGGTGAAATGAGTTATTGTTGGATAGCGACTCCACCAATACCTGATTCGTTTATTAATTCGTGTTTAACGAGGAATGTCATAAAGAGTTCGTGTTGTATATGAATCCTATATAACCAATATAAAAACGAGTTGTGTCGTATATTTTTTTTGGATTGGTTTCACTCATATCTTATGCGTTTATTAATCGTGTTGTGTCGGGTCCACTCGTTTACAAAATGGGTGACTTAAGAAAGACACAGACTCGAAATTTCATTTATTAATTGTGTTTGTATCGTGTTAACGAGTCATGTCATATTTTGACGCCCGTATGTATCATAGACTTTATTGTCATACTTAAACTTGCCAACATTAACTACCTAGAATTGGCCCAGACCAAATTAAATAGTGGCCTTCTTTGACATGAAGGAACCTATCATTGACACATTTCCTTCTTATAATTCCCATCTTAATGAGGGAAATTTTCATTTTTCACCCAATCCATGCTTTCACATGCTACGGATATCAAATATTGCAAAATTTACTTATCTTCTTGCAAAAATTCTGCAACTGATTTTGGGCAGAGGTTATGCTTTTCTTACGGAGGATTTATGAGAAAAAATTTTAATCCTCAAAAATACAATGTTATCGTAGTCAAAACTCAAGCATATTTAATGTAAAAGGGGACTTAGGAGGTTAAAAGTAATTATATAAAATATGTTACAGATTGCCAAATGTACTTAAAAGCTCATAGAAATTGTTATAGTGTAACACAATTAGGCCACATCAAAGTGGTGATTCATGGGTAACTAAAGCAGTAATGCTAGACTGACCAAATTTTGAGCCCAAATGACATGGCAGTTGATTATTTGGAGTTTTTATTGGGGCCCAAATGACATGANCACACACACACACACACGAAGCCTCAGCGAACTTTGTGCAATCAGGTACTATTGGCTGTCAGGACAGGGGAATGGCTTTGCCTTGCCTATGACTTGGTTTTGATTAGGTGACTTAAATTGAGTCTAGTATCTGTTGTTCCAATTAGGTATCGTTGAGTTGAATTTGTGTGGAGATGAAGCCTGACTTGAGCTTCATTCAAGCACAAAAAAACTTTGTTCAACATTGGTACTTGTTGCTTTTGAGTGTACCCACACTTTCTCATGCCTTCATCCTATTACCCTAATTTAACTTTGTATATCCTGGTGTATCCAAAGCTTACTGCTCAGTTTTTATGCCAGGTTCCTGAGCTCTATCTTCGTTGCTTTCAGCTTCATTTTTGTTCTGTTTTCTGTAGCGAGTGGTTGTCAATGGCTTCACTTGAGCTAATCTTGGTGGTGTTATCTATATCTTACCTTCTTAATGCAAACTTGCTGTGCAGCAACTAGTCTCCTGAGTCTGTGTGTGTCATGGGCACAATCAAGGTGAACATGATGGCTTTCAAATCTCTACTATTCACTAAAAGAAATAATTTAAGAGAAAGAGTTTTTGTGTTAGTTTTTTCTCACCAAATTTTATTTTCACTTAATTTTGAATTATTTAATTAGTCTTGTCCAATTGCATTTCAACATGTGGCGTATGTAAAATATTTTTAATTTTTTGATAGTTATTTTAATTTATGATCTTTATCAAATACTCTATATTTTAATTTTTATAAAACATCAATTTAGCACATTAATAAATAAATTTCTAATAATGTTATGATGGGGTGGGAGTATGGGTGGCGGTGGTGATGAAGATATATTACAATTTTTTTGCGGTGAACGAAATGATTGCTGGCAACTTCTCGTGCAATATTATTTATATGAGCACAAATATATTTTTTTATATTGGTGGCTAGGTAATGACTATGATTAAGTTGAGCCTTAGCTAACAACATGCTTCTTCATCTAATAAGTTGAACCTTTTTAATTTTTTTTAATAGATTCTCTGTCGTGAATTCATTGAAATTCACTGTATATAAATGGGTTCCATGTTTAATAATAATAATAAATGATTTTTCAAGAAAGAAAATGGAGGGAAGAAATTTAGAAGGAATCCAAATGAGAAGAGAAGTAGGAAATCATAATTAGTGGGATCAAGTTTGACTAAATTAATGGAAGATCCTCTTATTCTCTCAATAAATTTGTTCACAATACTAGGTTAAATTTATTTCAAATTTTAAAATTTCATGGTGCTCGTATAAATAACATAAAATTATTGACGTATTTATCAAAAAAAAAAAAGATATACCAAGGTGGGTATATTTTATCATTAAAAAAAAAAAGAAAAATCCTATAATTAATTTGCAATTAGAGAGGAGTAACGCAATCAGTTATTGCTTTTCTATATAAAAAAAATAAAAAAAGGAAAAAACAATCGTTTCCTCTGTATATCGGCTTAACCGTTACAATGGGAGCACCACAAGTTTACAAACAAAACAAAACGATAGTGGCATTTATTGTAAATTCCTAAACCACGAGGGTTTTTTAACCAAATATCATTAAACCCAATTGTAATGGCGCCTTTTCACATTTCCCGCGCTCGATGTTCCCCAACTTTATTACCCTAGAGCCTCCTTCTCTCTCTCTCTCTCTCTCGGATCAAAGGAATCCAGTTCATACAATTCTCTCTCTACTTTCTCTTTCTCTTTCTCTCTATAGAGCTGTGTGAGTGTGTATGTATATATATATATATATATATATATATATATATATTTATTTATTTATTTTATCTGCAAATAGTGTAGAAGAACAAGGAGGAGGAGGCGGAGGAAATGTTCTACTCGCATACGTTCTTGGCTCGGAAAGGGCCACTGGGAACAGTATGGTGTGCCGCACATCTACAACATAAGCTCAAGAAGTCTCACTACACCTCCACCAATATCCCCTCCACAGTCGGTTCGTCTTCACTCTCTCAAACCCTTATTTCTTGCTTGATATTTTTTTTTATATGTTTTGAGTGGTGTACAAACAAATTTATGTCTATATGTAAGACCATCTCCAGTCCTTACCAAAACCCTTACTCAAATTTGACTAAAAAAAAGTTAAAATGCTTGATTTGGTATATAGACATCTTCAATGAACAAATATTTGTTTGTACTCTAATCTTTTAAAAAAATTCTCATGTTATCCCAATAACTATTTTTTTTTCATTTTTCCCTACAAAACATTCCTCTAAGCGCGGGGAATTCTCAAATATTTCATAACCATCCATTGTTCAAACTTTGAAAAACAAAATCAAACCGATAAACAAGACAAAAAGGAAACAGAAGCAGTCAGTTAAATACTAATACTTTAACAACACAAATAAATAGAACAACTACAACTAAAAAAAAATGAAGCATGTGCAACAGCTAGAAGTTAACGAGCCCAAAAAAAAATAAAAATAATCTAATTTTGTATTTACATAATTTGTATGTACTGCTTTCATGGCAAATTTGTTTGTACATAATTCGTATGTATTGTGTGTGGCAAAATTCCATTAAGTGTCTCTTGTGACAAATTGAAAATTCTAAATTTGATGAATTATATATATATATATATATATATATATATGCCTGCACTCTAAAAAATCTTTGGCTTGAGTTGAAATAGATGAACTGTGCAAATGCCCAAAGGGTTTCCCTTGTCACGTGAATTGTGAATGCGCCAAAGTTCTTTTTTCCTTTAGCTGAGGTTTAGAAATTCAGCATAGTTTTGCTCATGGGTTGTCTTTAACTTTGAAGTTATGAAATTGGCTTGTGAAAAGATACTTCATGGCTTTGGAGATTTCATTTTTAGCAAAATTCGTTATGGAATTGGTTATCAAAGCCAAGTATGGCTTCTAGGCTAATTGATGGGATGCTAACAAGATTGATAGGTGAAGTTATTGAAACGCATCGAAATTCATTTATTTGGGATTACCTAAATTTTCTTAAAAGGGTCAAACTCATTGTGGGCAATGGGTTGAGAATTTGTTTTTGGGAAGATATTTGGGTGGGTGAGACATCGTTTTCAAGTTCATTTTCTTGTTTATATAGAATTGCTTGTTATCATGATCTTAGTGTTGCTTCTTTGGCATGGCTGGATTCTTATCCGATTGCCTGAGATTTTTGTTTTCGTAGGATTTTAAACGATAGGAAGTCTTCGAAGTTAGTTCTACTTTTTTCCTTGCTTAGTTCTATCACTTTGAATCAAGATTCCTTGGATAATAGTAGTTGGGTCACTGAACCATCGAGTTATTTTTCGTGCAAGTCATTTTTTGAATTTTTGATTGATTTTGCTTCAATTCTTCTGTTTTATTCGGCATTGAAGATTTGGAAGGCTAAAGTCCCCTTGAAAGTGAAAGTGTGTGGATGGGTAGTTGCTCATGGCAAGATTAATACTTATGAGGTGTTACAAAGGAGGCCTTACATCAATCTTAGTCCACAATGGGATGTTATGTGTAGAGCAAGCTGTGAGAGAGTGAACCATTTATTTTTATGTTGCTGAATATAAGTTGGTGGGGGTTTGTTGGGCAGCCCCGCAATCAATATCCTTCATCTTTTCGGTTGAATATAAAGGATTGGGTGGTGGTGCATGGGGTATTTCTCTATGGAATTGTGCTTTTTTGGCAATGGTTTGGGATATATGGTTGGAGAAAAAAATTCTAANATATAAAGGATTGGGTGGTGGTGCATGGGGTATTTCTCTATGGAATTGTGCTTTTTTTGCAATGGTTTGGGATATATGGTTGGAGAAAAAAACTCTAGNCATGGGGTATTTCTCTATGGAATTGTGCTTTTTTGGCAATGGTTTGGGATATATGGTTGGAGAAAAAAATTCTAAAATCTTTGAAGATAAAAAGATGAAAAGGAGGGAATATGGGACTGAATTTATTTCCTTGCATCCTTTTGGGCATCAGTGAAGACGGAGGTTGAAAGTATCCCTCTTTTTTGCATTATTTCAAATTGGAGGGCATCTTGTACAAGATAATTGTTGTTTTGTTAAAACCTTGGTGGATGTTTTGGTTTTCTTGTTGCTTTGATTACAAATTATGTATGTTTTTAGGGCTGGACTACTGGTCCACCTATGCTCAGACATTATAAAATTTTCATATGAATGAAAAGTTGTTTTTTATCAGAAAAAAAGAATAGATATTTCATAATCTAATTTATATTTTAATTGTCTGTCAACGCAAAATTTGATTTACAACATTAGAACTGTTGGCATATTTTGTTCTAAGGCTGGCTACATCATAAGGTTTTTATTTTTGTGTGTGGTGGCACGCACAAAAAAATATGGGCCTGGGTCCAAATGTGTGACCTGAGAATTAGAATGCATCAATTTGTTGCTAGTCCTTTGATTGGGGTTTAGAAATTTGGTATTCTTTTGCTCATGGGTTGTCTTTAGTCGTCAAGTTTGAAGTGGCTTGTGAAAAAAAATACTTCCTTCACATTAAAGAGATACCACTTGGCTGTCAAGATAGAGAAGATTAAGTGATGAAACTCTGGTTATTCAATATTTAGATGTATGATTGGATGGTCTGTTTGAACTCAAACAGTATAGCTGCCTCTAATAGAAAATTTGGAATTATTATGGATTGTCATATATTCAGTCCATAATTACTATTTCATCCTAATAATTTAATTTCAGTGGATGCTTGCACGTGGTCATGTTTTTGCAAGCATGCAACCATGATTTGAGTATAAACCTTTGACTTATTATCCAGTTTGGTTTCTATTAATCACAAGTATTGAGAGGTATGAGCTAGGTAGTGTTTTCCATGCTTTCTACTCCACTGCCTTCCTTGTTTGGTTACAATCCATTGCCCAGTTGAAAATTTTCCCTCTCACGGTTTGTTTGTCTTACGGAAGTCTATGCATTAAAGTGCATATGATAGCATTGTAGTGTCATTTATTATCAATCTGCTGTAAATCTAATTTTTCTGAATACATCTTGTAGAGCGCATAATGAATCCAGAAGTCCCAATTGCACTGAGAATGTCTAGCCATCTTCTGCTTGGTGTTGTTCGGATATATTCGAAGCAAGTTGAATATCTATACCACGACTGCAATATTGTATTGATAGGGATAAGAAAGGCCTTTGCTTCAGTCGAAATTAATTTACCAGAAGATGCGACTCATGCACCGTTTCATTCTGTAACTTTGCCAGACAAATTTGAACTTGATGCCTTGGATTTGGATGATGACTGTTATCAGGATAGGTAATTTTTCCTGGAAGCTTATTTCTTGGGTGTCTTTTGTAAGCTTTCTAGATGCAAGTAACTCATGGATTTTGATTTTCCAGGTTTCAGGATAATCATCTGAGGAGCCAGGAGGAGATTACACTAACAGGTGGTGTTCATACTTCCTTAAATTCATATTATCTCATTCCTTTCCTTCTTGTTTATTATATAATTTTTCACATTCCAAATATTGAATTTTTAAATTAATCAAATTACAGATCAGTTTCCGATTGATAGAGATTATATTGTCATCACTTTTGATGAGGTAGCCATCATTTCTCCTGTCTTGTTTTTCATTTCTGAATGTTAATGTATCTGAGCTGACTTATCATGTTGGAGAGATTTCTGTTCTATATAGGATGTACCGAGGAATTCATTGCGCATGGAAGATGTTTCTGGATTGGGCCTCACACCAATGGAGGAAGAGTAGGTTATGGAACTGTATTGATATTCCTGTGTTTTTGAGTGGGTAATTTATTCTTCTTTGTTTTTCTATTATAGTTCTCATCCTTCAGTTTTAGAGCGAGCAACTGCTGACTTCCAAGATCCTGGTCCCATTAATCAGACAGGAATTAGCGAAACGCCTAATGAAGATGGTGTTTCTCAAAATATTCCTGAAATTGAAGTAATGCGTGATGCTGTCCATGACATCCACTTCAATGATGCTCCTGTTTGGCTAGACCAAGGAAATGATGTACCTGGACTGGACAAAACTTTAGAACAGCAGAAAGAGAAGGAAAACCTTACCCCAATTATGGAAGAGCTGGTATCTGGAGGTCACTCTCCTCCATTTCAGAAATACCATGAACCGCCTTCTGCTACTTCGAAGCAAGCCTCTGAAATCTATGATACACACATTTCATTTGGTGGTGGGTGCAATTTTCCTATTATTTAGAACATGTATGCTATATAAAGATGTTGTTTTACCTTTGAATATATTTGATTCTTGTGCTGCAGGATATACATCACCTGAATTGGCAATTCGATCAACTCCTCCGGTTGAGCAGCCAAAAGCAAAACCAAGAAAGAGAAAGCACTACTATGATGAGTCCACAGTGTTGACTAACAAGTACAGTGGCCATATAATTTAAATAATTGTCTAGTGTCTGCTAGTGCTGATTTTCAATATGAGGATATGTATTTTCAGGTTTTGTATCCTATGGTCCCGATATTTGATACAAGGATATGTGTTTTTCAGGTTTATGAAAAAGGCACTAGAAGATTCTAGCGGTCTACAGCGGGTGAAAAAGGATTGCCCTTGCTCTGCTTTGGGTGTTTGGAAAGTAAATAATAGATTGAAAAAGGATAAAGTCTTCATTGATCCTTTAATGACTGGTAAGTTGTTTCCTTTGTTGCTTTACTTTTATGTGCATATCTCTGTTTATGGAATTGATATTCTTTGAACATGGGGCTGTTTTTGTGTGCAGGGTTGGGTGCTGATCTTTGTGATATATACAAGAAAGACTTCATTTCTTCAAAACCACATTTAGTTCCCACAGAGGCTGCTCATCCAGAGACTAATGTTTCAGATCCTCCTATTCCAGTGCATGACCCTGATATGGAAATTGAACATCTTCGAAATTATGCAGGCCCTCTTAGCAGCAATGTTTTGCACGAACTCTTGCCTTCTCCGAATAGATTCATGTCTTCTCCAACTCGAGGAAATGACTTCAGTCCTACCTCCACTACCAATACGTTGTCAGTGTCAAATCAGCTGGGAACAGTTATGGGGACTGGATCACTACCCTCACCAGACTTGGCAGCATCTACTGGACCTGTTTGGTCTGACATAGAAACACCAATGACACTCTTAGAAGAGCGACTAGGTGTCGAAAATACTGGTCTTTCTGACATTCCTGAGCTGGTGAATTCTGCAGGAGTATGTTTTTAGAGTTTCAGTGCACAATACATCAATGATTTCAACCTGTGCTTTCTTCTAATGTTTTATTTAAGTTATTGGGGGATTCACGTTTCTCATGATCTACATATCCATATCGGGAGCAATGTAAAAGAAAGAAGTTAAAGTCCTAGTACTGCTATAAGAGAGACAGAGAGGGAAAGGACTCACTCTATAGTACTTCCTAAGGACTGAGTATATTCATTACTAAAGGTGTGCCAGTGTCCTTAACCCGATCCGGGTATCCTCGGATTATTCCAGCCTTTCACCGTCGATGATATACTAAAAGGCTAGCTGTTGGATCTTTCTGTGACGCTTCAGCTGGGAGTGTTGCCTTAATGGATGGTGTTAAAGTTTCAGCATAGATTCTCTTGAAAAGTATAAATACTTAAGTTACGTCCCTCTAACAACTTAAGCTTTTAGAAAAGATAGTGGTCAACATGGTATAAGAGCAGGAGGTTTAGTGTTTTGAATCTGATTGTCATCTTAATAATTAAAAGATTTCCATGTACTAGATCCAAAATCTAGCCTGCACGCGAAGGGACATGTTGAAGAAGTATAAATACTTAAGTTACAAGATCTCGAACAACTCAAGTTTTTACATGACTTGGTGAGTAGCAGATTCAATCAAGAGGATCATGCTCATAAATGTTAGCTGCATGATTAGGTTCACTTTATGCTTGGGGTTCAAATGTTATATTATTAATTATTTTCTTTCTTCCAAGCTGAGACCTAATTCCTTTATGCACATGTCTATGTTTTTACCCAACAATTATGTCTTATAGTCCCTTCAATGATTTGATAATTTTTTGAAGTCATGCTGCAAAAATTCTTACCTCAAGGCTTGTGACATGTGTTGGGTTTATAGTTGGCAATTTTATGAGTGTAATGCTGTAGTGTAAATGANATAGTCCCTTCAATGATTTGATAATTTTTTGAAGTCATGCTGCAAAAATTCTTACCTTAAGGCTTGTGACATGTGTTGGGTTTATAGTTGGCAATTTTATGAGTGTAATGCTGTAGTGTAAATGTTATCAGGCTTGAAGATGAATGAAACTGTGTTGAAATCTTGGCAAGCGTGAAGACTGTCCGACGGGTCTTAGGTCCTTGGATAATAAAGAGATCCTAGGTGAGAGGTCACAGATAGTGGACTCCATGTGCAGTAGATGTGAGATAGAGGGATTGAGGAGGTCCCTGGCAATGAATTGGGACTTTTCCAGTCGACTGTGTGTGGTTGACTTGAAAGGTTCTAGTTGATGGCTCTGTTCAAAATTTAAATTAAGAATCTAACTGTCATCCACAGTAGGTAAACACTCACACCCCTATCAGGTTATTTCTAGACAGTGTGGAATTAAACTCGCACAATAGATTCCCTTTTAACTCTATTAAGGTAGAAAGGGATGACTTAACGATGTTCATTTGTTCCTAGTTTCAACACAAGGTCCAGAGGAGAAGTTGAGCCAATTAACTGTTTTGTGTGGCTCTTTTAAGAGACTATCATAGAGTTCCTTTAAGGTAGAAAGGGACTACTTAGCGTTGTTCATTTGTTCCTAGTTTAAACACAAAGGTCCAGTTGTGAAGTTGAGCCAATAAGCAGTTTTGTGTGGCTCTCTCATTGTACGTGCTACTTGTATGTGGTTTTCCCGTACACTTTGCCACTGATATTCACGTATTGGACGCTTGGGTTTGTGTCATTTCTTCGAGGAGAAGCAGTAACATTGTTGTGTTGTGTAGTAAAAGGGGTCACGACATGATAAGTGGTGATCCAATTGAAAAACATTTACGGCTGTATGATATTTGTGACTGTGCTTGGGATTTGGGACTAGTGGAGTTGACCACCAACCGAGTTGGTTGGTAGTAGATATAGGTAGCTTTGGAAGTAATCGAACCACAATAAATCTTTTTGTTCATTTCACTCTATTACCTTCTATTTGAACTCTGACCGACAGCCCAAAAACACAGTATTGATGACATTGGGTTCATTCATTCCTATATCTTTCAATCAAGTCCCAGTCTGGAAAAGGGATTTTTGAGACTGGTCCCGGTTGAATAGTTGTTGCCTCGTCGAATAGCTGGTTTTCCTGATCAAACTAGAGGGTACCAAGCTCGAAAAAAAGTCAAGGTCTATCGGAAGTCAAATCAAAGAGGCCACTAGCTTAAGCTTATTCCCCTTTGAATGATTCCTAACAATGTGTAGAAATATGATCCTGTTTTTCATGCACATTAACTGTTTGTTGAAATGCTTATGTGAACTTGGTTACCATTAGTAACTCTGTAAGACTCAACTTTTAGTAACAAAAGTAGCATCTTACATGCCAATCGATTTCATTGCAGGACCTAAATTTTTTGGAAGAAGATGAAAATACACCAGCTGGTAAGCTGAGAACACTAGTTATTAATTGGTGATGTGTATGACACTAGATAATTTTGGATGACGTTCTTCTGTTTTCTTACAATTACATATTCATTCGTGGGCAGGATCTCAAGGAACTCCTGGAGTTTGGTACTTATCAAGAAAACAAAAAGGGACTCCAGAAATTGATGCATTGTCTGCAAGAACAAGGTAGCATCTTGAAGAAGTCATTGTTACTGATGAAGTTTTGCTATTCCAAGCAGCCTGCATATAACTTTTGTACCTGTATGCAGGGCTGTGGCTCAATATTTAAAAAGGCAGTTGTCAGTTACCCCTATCTCAGAAGACTTATCTGGAGATCTCAGTCTGAACAAGATCCTAGAAGAGAAAAGGAAAAAAATATGTGCTCGAATGTTTTTTGAAACACTGGTATGTCCACAAACACAAACATTTTGATCTTACTGCCCAGTTCTTCTGATATTTTCACCCAATTTAGTTGATGGGAAAATGAATTGCGGGAAATTTTTTTATTGCCAATAACGAATTTTTTATGCGTGGAGGGAAATATGATTTGAATAACCAGTGTACTACCAGAAAAACTGCATCTGAAAGTTCCAATATTTGCATTCTGCAGAGCTGCAACGTTTATTTTAATATTTTGAGGTGATATGTATTTGCACTGGGATACAAGTATTATCATGTACAATAGCTTATTGTATTGCAGACCTGTGACAGAACTAATTCATGACTTAGTGAAAAGATTCCGTTACTGACTTTGTTGAAAGATGCATTTGCTGTTATGCTTTTTCTTTCCCTCATTTATGTTTAGCTGTCTTGTGTTTACATTAGAAATTCGGAGTTGGTATCAGTGTGTATTGCTTCTTATAGTTATGCATAATCTGTATTCTTAACCCTAAGTTCAGGTCTAGTGTTATAGTAATCACATGAAAAATGAAACTAACATAGCTAAATTGCTGGTCTGAGTAGATCACAGAACCACTGTTGAAGTAGATCTTCATTCAACAATATTAAGAAGCCTTAGTCCCACTACTTGGAAGTCGGTATACTTCTTGTATAATTAGGTTCAGTCCTCCTTTAAGCAAATGTTGTGCTGCACCAGGCCTGTAATGTAGAAGAGGGTTGTCGGTATTTTGCTTAGCTCATAGTGGTGTTGTCTTAATGTTGTTTTCATTGGAAATGCTAATTAGCTATAATCTGAATTTTATGATGGTTGGTGCTTTTTAAGGCCTGTTAGCATGCGTAGCAGACAACCATGCACAGTGGGATTTAGATATTTCATAATGGGAAGACAGCAGGGGGTTCCCAATTTTGTTTTATGGTTGTTCTCGTAACAACACTGCCTACATGTGCAAAACTTCAACTACATCCATTTGCAGTATATTGGTGCCAGTTCTCTACTGTAAATTGACTTTTTCAGTTCCAGCCTTGCGGGAATCCTGTTTGTGTCATTCTTAAATATATTCCCTATATAGGCTCATAAGATTTGGGTTGCTGGTTGTAGAAGTCAATTAAACAATCATGCCAGGGAATGATATTGTCCTATATGATATGATTCCTCATTGCTCAGGTTCTGAAGAATTGTGGACTTGTAGATGTACAACAAGAACAACCTTACGGTGATATCACTGTGAAGGTGACTCCAAAACTTTCAAAGGAACAATTTCCAAGTTAAGTGCGCTCCGTAGGTCTTCACGTAAATAGGTAAGAAGTTATTGCTCATTTTCAGTGTAAATTTTGCAAAACAGTGCTCAACTCTTTTTCCAATCTGTTCTCGCACACCGTTTCTATTTTCTTTTGGTATGGCCAAAGATAAACAATATTTGGATGATCTGACTGCTTTGAAAGCTGCATCAATGGTGTCAGTTTTTGATTTCCAATTGAAGAGTGCAAACGAGTTAGGTGCCTTGAGTTTCTCGTATTTTAATTATCATCCTTTTTATATATAAAGTCAAAAGTGCACCTCTCATATGTATATGCAAATTACATTGTATCCTCCAGTTTTATACCAACACTAACTACACAGTTCTTTTGTTATGGAACAGTTGGATTTGTACAGCAGGTCATAAAGTTGTGAAGATGCATAGTCCTATTTTTTGTAGGGATTGGCTGCAGGAGATGTGCTAAGTTATTGTAATCAACAGTGCTCCATGTGCTCCTCTTTGTTCCCGTAACTTAATGTAATCTTTCCTTCTGTTGGGACGGGAAGTAGCTGACTTGAAAGGACTGAGATATTTGTATCCCATTTTTGTTCTATGTGGTGCAATGGATCAGGGTTTTGGATCACTTGCCATGAAAATCTGCTGGAGTGCTGGGAAAGCCGATAATTATGTTGGTATTAGACTGTATAATAGGAAAGAAGCTGATGGTGTTGTTTGTTAGTGGATTGGGTTTTGATTTGAACTTGATCCACAGTTTGATTTGGCCTGCTATTTTTGTACTAATTATTTAAATTTAAATGTCGTTATATTTTATAGATTTACATTTGGATGTAAGCAGAACTCTAGATGGCTTTAGTAGTTAGATATGCAGGATTGGGTTTTGCTCTTAATGGAAAAAGTCATTATCCAACTTGAGAAAGTGATAATTATTGTGTACTGATGAAAAATTGTTGAGGTATATATGGTGAAAGATTATTGAAATTGAGCCTGTTCAGTGTGGTGATTGGATGTCTTGTATTGTTATACTGTCATACATTCACTCGAAGTTCCTTTGAAAATAGTCGAGAGATGTTTAAAATAAACACACNATTGAGCCTGTTCAGTGTGGTGATTGGATGTCTTGTATTGTTATACTGTCATACATTTACTCGAAGTTCCTTTGAAAATAGTCGAGAGATGTTTAAAATAAACACACGGCCACATTCTCAACTGCAATAAGCGGTTTGGTTTCAGATCAAAATGTCTGCAAGTATTACATGGAGCTATCAAAGATGCAACGTTATTAACAAAGTTTTAGCAGATATAAAATTGTAATGCCATGGATAATCAGTTGTGCATGGTTTCATCAGATGTTCCATCATTTGCTTCCAATTGTTATTATTTATTGTTATTTTTATCCTATAATTCTATTCTTTGGCTTCACCTTGGAGACTTTGTTGCTGTTTGTTGAAGCTCTTATAGCTCAAATGCATATCATGACCTGGATCCTTATTNTTGTTGCTGTTTGTTGAAGCTCTTATAGCTCAAATGCATATCATGACCTGGATCCTTGTTTANTTTTATCCTATAATTCTATTCTTTGGCTTCACCTTGGAGACTTTGTTGCTGTTTGTTGAAGCTCTTATAGCTCAAATGCATATCATGACCTGGATCCTTATTTATATATATCTCTATGGAATATTTTAGGTCCCTAATTAATTCTCAAGAATCAGTTAAACTTCGAGCATTTTCTAGACATTCTTTATAAGGATACAAGGGAGAATTGAATTAAAAAGTCGGGGTAAAAAGTGTAAGTAGCCCACAAGTAAATAAACCATACCACCAAGAGAGAGATTATATTTTAAGAACGATAAATTAGGCATGATATATATATATATATTTTTTTTTATTTTTTATTTTTTTTGGGTTTAATGGTCAAAGTGTTCGAATCAGTTTGAGCGCACCTCTTTCCTGGCCTGGTCAAAGGCATGCTAATGCAAATCAGGAGGATACTCCATAATTCCGTAATCAAGGGAGCTGATATGATATACAGAGGATTTTTAGGAAGGCTACTTATTAGTTGCAATTCTGTTTTTGTTTGAATTGATTTTGTCTATTTCTTTCCGAGTTTTTTTTTCTTTCCTAGTTGGAGTTGGAGACTGTAATATCGGATTGATATTTAAAGTAGTATGACAATAATGAAGGTAGTTTTTTTGGGTTTTTTTCGACGAAAACGAATTCTTTTTTTTTTTTTCTTGGAGTGATTCCAATGTCACATAGGGATTCTGTGTTTGCCCTGCTCTTGGTATTGACGTGAGGTTAATCTAGGAGTCTTGGCACCAAATTTTGGTATCAAAGCCGTTTCCTTTCTCAAGAAATTCGGTGTCTCATGCCTGTGACCCGCAGTGGTAATTCTTACAGTATGTCAACTAACCAAAACCCAAATATTGACCTACGCCTTCTGCAAGAACAGATCACCCAACTCGCATCTGCCCTGGAGCAGATTAATCATAGGTTGGATGCAATGGACAAACGTAGAACTCGAGATGAGTTTGGGCTTCACAATAGGAGGGTGCGTGGGCCTTTTCAGGAGGATGTCGTGAACAATAATGAAGAGGAAGAAGGGGATGAGGAATATAGGGAAAGGGACAGGGGATTTGGTGATTGTGGAGCTCACTTTGGACATAACGGCATGAATTTCCTAGGGGACGAGGAGGGCGTGACGTTGACCATTACCCTGTTGATGAACTAACTAAGAGGATGAAGGTGGATGTGCCGGATTTTTTTGGAAAATTAGAGCCCAACGCTTTTGAGGACTGGTTAACGGCTATGGAGGATTATTTCGATTGGTTTGCTGTATCGGAGGATAGAAAGGTTCGTTATGTTCAGATGAAATTGAAGGGGCATGCATGAGCATGGTGGAGAAGTGTGGAAGAACAATTACGCCGTACACGATGACCAGCAGTTTCTAACTGGGAAGAGATGAAGGAAAAATATTTGCCCATTGATTATGAGCAAATGATGTTCCAGGAGATGTTGCACCTCCGGCAAGGGTCATTAAATGTTGATCAATTTACGGACCGCTTCCACGAGTTGACTGTCTGTAGCAAGATGGTGGAGACTGAGCAACAAACTTTAGCCCGATACCGCACCTGATTATGCAGCGAGCTATGCAGAGAAATGTGGACTGCTCGTTTAATCAACGTGGAGGAGGCGTATCAATTAGCACTCCGTATTGAGAAACAAATGGGACCGTCGATTGGGAGGAAAATGATGGCGATAGATTCAAGACCGGATATATCACCACGCCTTCATTCCAAAGGCCTCCATTGCTGAAAGATCAATCTAGAGGCGCGGTGAGTGGGACCAGAAAGGAAAAGCAAAAGCCACCAGCGAAGGGCCACAATGTTATAAATGTAAAGGCTCCAGACACTATGTTGTTGTGTGTCCTACAAGAGATAAAAAACTAGCCTTTATATGTGAAAAAGAATTATTAGTAGTGGATGCTGTTGAAGACACGGATGGGAGTAGCCACGGTGAAGAAGAGCACTTGGGTGCGTCGGATTTACCCAGTTGCGTGATCCATCGAGTGTTGACTGGAACTAAGAGAGAACTCCAGGCTAATCCTGAGTGGTTGAACACCAATATTTTTCACACATGGATGGAGCGTAATGGTCGGGCTCTTAATGTCATTATTGATAATGGTAGTGGCATGAATGTGATCTCCGAAGTTGCCGTTGAACGCTTGGGGCTGAAAACCGAGAAGCATCCCACTCCTTATCGGATTAGCTGGGTTAATGAAGCCAACTCAGTCCTAGTGAAGCAACGTTGCTTGATTAAATTTTTATTGGGAAAGAAATATGTGGACAAAGCCTAGTGCGATGTAATCCCAATAATCGTTTGCCACATGTTGTTGGGACGTCCGTGGCTCTATGATTGGAGGGTTCTCTATGATGGGTATGCTAATACTTATTCTTTTAATTTCAAAGGTAAGAAATTTGTTTTGGATCTTTTATAGATTTTGGAATTTGAAACAAAAAAAGAGGCTGTCCCAATTTTGACGATCTGGCAATTCTCTCGAGTTATGCATGAGAATAACATGGTGCTAATGGGAGTAAGACGTGACGTGAAGCAGGAGGACGACATTATTCCAATGGAGTTCTCGGCAATGATGGAGGAATTCCAGGATATCATGCTGGATGAGATTCCGAATCAACTACCACCAATGAGGGAGGTGCAGCATGTTATCGACTTGATCCCTGGCTCAACCTTGCCTAATTTACCGCACTACCGCATGAGCTCAACAGAGAATGAAGAGCTCAACCGGCAAATTCAGCAGTTGCTAAACAAAGGCTTTATTCGAGAAAGCCTTAGCCCTTGTGCTGTTCTGGTTCTACTTACACCGAAGAAGGATGGTAGTTGGAGGATGTGCATAGATACCCGAGCAATTAACAAGATAACTGTGAGGTACCGATTTCCCATTCCCTGTCTTGATGACATGTTGGATTTACTATGTGGCTCCTCTATTTTCACTAAAATTGACCTTTGAAGTGGTTACCACCAAATTCGTATCTAGTTGGGTGACGAGTGGAAGACGGCCTTTAAAACAAAGATGGTTTGTTTGCATGGCTAGTCATGCCCTTCAGATTAACCAACGCGCTGAGCACTTTCATGCTCGTTATGACACAAGTTTTCAAATCATTTACGGGAAAATTTTTTGTTGTTTATGTTGAGCCTTTTATGGAGTCTAGTTTGTGTGTTGATCCGGATAATAATTCGACCTGAAATAATGTTGTGTAGTTTTTAATAAAATTTTTTTGAAGCTTGATTTATGGAGCGAAGGCTTGGGTCGATACGAAGGACATATATAAACCGCTACTTTGGTGTTTAGGGTTTGATTGTAACTGAAAGCCGCCCTCTGTATTCCGTTCTCTGAATAGTGAAATTCCTGTAATTTCGTGGACGTAGGTAAATTATCGAACCACGTAAAATTTTTGTATGTCATCGATTTACCCTCTGATTTTGGTATTAGTCCTGTTTTTGACATCGAAGGCCTTACTGAGTTCAAGGGTGATGTCGATGAATTTTCTGCCCCTTCGGTTTCAGAGGTACCACCAGTTCTGCGAGTTCCAGAAAATACAGTGCCACAAGATGAGATTGCTACAATACTTGACCATTAATTTGTCACAACTCGTCGAGGAGGATATTACAAGTTTTTAGTGCACTGGAAAAATTGTCCAAACTTGGAGTTAAGTGTTTATATCTACATCTATTTGCTGCTTACACTCGTCAAAACTTGCCAGTGTCAAGTTCTATGGGAGAGCCGACAATTGAANATATATATATATATATATATATATATATTATTTATTTATTTATTTTTTTGGGTTTAATGGTCAAAGTGTTCGAATCAGTTTGAGCGCACCTCTTTCGTGGTCTGGTCAAAGGCATGCTAATGCAAATCAGGAGGATACTCCATAATTCCGTAATCAAGGGAGCTGATATGATATGCAGAAGATTTTGAGGAAGCCTACTTATTAGTTGCAATTCTGTTTTTGTTTGAATGGATTTTGTTTATTTCTTTCCGAGTTTTTTTTGCTTTCCTAGTTGGAGTTGGA